TATATACCTGCAACATTTTCTTTGTTTCGCTTTCATCCCTCGCGTGTTTGAGATAGCAATCAATAAGGCCATTGCACACAATCCCATATATGTGATTTATCAATTCAAGAGTGATAGGTTTTTCAGTTATTAATTTTTCTCTTTTTAAATTGGCGTTTTGATTAAGAATAATAAATTTGTTTTACAGCAATATGCTTGATGTGCCACACTCGCGGATCGGAGTTGTGTGAGAGCTAACGAATTTACTGTTAAAGAGATATGTTTTTCAACGCTCAGTTGTCACAACTTAGCTTCATCTAAATATCAAATCATGCAGACATAGTAGAATTACCCATGTTGTTCGAATTCATGTTTACGACTAAGTACCATGATAGACGGATTGCCCCTTGTAAGTAATGTCATTTTCTTAGACTTGAAATCCTATACTAATCATCAGTACGGAGAAAGCTTTACTAAATAAAGTTCAAATATTTCGAACTCTGTGCGAAATTCTTCAAGAAGTTACTTTTTCATTTGGAGATGAAAATTTTATGCGAGAGTAGTTGGTTGATAAATTGGGTTTTTTACTAAAAAAAGAACGTGGCTTTTACTGATCCAATTTCGTGGAATCTTAATAATAAAAATACTCAAATCATTTCGAAACATAAGTTCCAATAATTTTCTCTTCGGAAAGGAAATTTAATGGTCGAGACCGAAGTAAATTATTGTTTGCTTTATCGTGTCGTACGTACGGTGGCCCATAGAGGACATGTCACATTTTTTTTTTTTTTTTTTTTTTTTTTTAATCGCGCGATAAAATCAAAATATCGCGCGATAACTGATAAATTATTGCGCGATAAATGATAAATTATCGCGTGATAAATGAAAAATTAGTGCGCGATAAATACAAATTATCGCGCGATAATTTATCATTTATCTTTCTTTTTTGCCTTACTAGGTGAAACACGGCATGAAGGTGGATACGACAATCTGGTGAGTACCCCCTGTTTGACACAGTGTGAGATCCGAATTGAAAAATCTAAGCTACGTCCCTGTCTGTACGGGAAAGACTCCATATAATTCTTTTCGGTAATGACCGACAGGTGAGAACGTTAAAAAAAGACAACGGGCGCGAAAGTTAGAGGTGAAAAAGGAACCGAGTTTCTGATTTAATAAATCATGTACACCTTTGAATGGGTATGGATGACAGGAAAGTAGCTTAGCCTATTAAATTATAGATATTTCTGAATTGTCACCAAACATCGTGTAAAGTAAACACAATGTCACAAAATTGGGTATTTTCAATTGAGTGTGGAAAGTAACGCTATTTTACTTTGGTTTTACCTTACTTCGCAAGGTGATTAGTTTAGAACTGAAACTCGCGCCTTACTTTAAATTAGTCAGATTGAAAATTAAACCAATCGCGATCTTGGTCACGTGCGTTTTCTCACGCCTTGGGCAAATAACCTGATTTTTACTCCACCTCCTGATTATGCTCCCTAATTTGATTTTGCTTTGAGTTTGGTTTTACAACACTCAACTGAAATGCCCTCTAAATGAAAACCCAGTTCACTGGGCATATTTACCAAATAGCACTTCCGTTAAATCACTGAATTGTTCTTCGTCTAGTTTCTGATTCAATACTATATTATTTTCTTCACAAAAAATCCTGTTTATCAAATGGCTCCCTGTTTTTCCTCTTATAGCTGACACTTCCAGTAGTGCATGTGGCAAAACATCTGCGTTTCCTATGTTGCTGAGCCAAATTCGCAACAACACTTATAGGTTATCTTCCCACCTGAGATGGGGCTTGAAAAGTTAGCAACTTTTGCGTCATTTGTACTACAGTTTACACCAATAAACGTCTTACCCTGCAAGAAAAAATACACTTAATAATTATGTTAACAGTGATGATAATAATTAAAATGATACAAGGTGTCAAGGAACCCAACAAAGGAAATACGAGTTCTTTTTTCAAATGAATGCTACGCGAATTTTCTGGCCGTGAAGTTCAGTAAACAACTATTTCACTGATAAATCTATCGACCGGTTTTCGTTTGCGACAGACAGCTGCTCGTTTTCGCTTCTAAACAGCAAATTTAAGCAGTTCTATGGAAACAGGCTTGGCCTCTAGATTTTTCTTGGCCATTTTGTCTTCCTTTCTTTACGATAGCGTTTATCATCTACTAATCCCGACAAATTTGCATATCGACTTAAAGCGTGTTCTGCATTTCTTATCGTAAATCGTTATTTCTGAGGAAAACTTTTGGAGTAAAAATACCAATTGCTTCCCTAAAAATCCGGTAAAGAAAACCAAAACGGGCTGGTTTTTGCATAAAAACGACGTTGATACCACTCTTCTAGAGACTGAAAATGTAATCAACAAAACGTTTATGCCGCGAAATGATGCTTAGAGGATTTCTTTAAATCTATATATCTTTGGAATAACTTCCTTCATTGCGACATTTAACCTATCTACTTTTAAAATTGAGAAAAAATCCAGGGAACCCCTCTACGTTCAGTTTAAAGATCAAAAGTATTAAAGCTTCCTAGAGTTCTTTTATGATTTTGAAGAACCAATAATAGATAAAGTTTGGGAACAAATTTTTAATAAAACAATTAATTCTTTTTTCTGTTCTATACTGATATGTGACTTAAGTTTGGTTCTGTCACTCGCACTTCTTATCTAGCGAACGAACCTGCTATCATTCCAGAGCTGGATAAAGTCTTGAAACACAGAAACTGGCCCCGGGCCCAGGTGATTCCTGGGTACCATTGTAACTGGGCGGTCCATCAGGGCCCTGAACATTAGGTTCTCCAGATGGTCCCGCATGACGCTGAGTACCATTATATCCAGGAGGTCCGGAAGGTCTGGTAGGTCCAATGTCACCATTAGTACCATTGTATCCTGGAGGTCTGGGAGGTCCGGGCTGGGATAAATAAGTTTTCGACTCGACTCAGAATTTTTTTTTCTCTTATTTTTTTATTTTTTTCATAAAATATATAACTTTACCCCCTGGGGTATTGAAAGATAAAAACCGCAAAAATGTCAACAAAACAGTCTTAACATCTACAACTTAGATGGCTTTTATTGAAATGAACAAATCTGGCCATTTGAGTTTTCGAAAAAATACGAAAGGAAAATTCGAGCTTGTCGTGTCTCTCTTGAAAGAGAAACACGACTAGAATATCCGAACAAGCCGTTTTCTGGCGGCTGAGCTATCCGAGTGTTTCTCCCCTCTTCTTGAGTTCACTTGAAGGCCGGTCGACGTCAGTTCTAAGGCTTGCATATATTACTGCGATGACTGGAGATCGCAATGATGAGCTAGCCGCGATGGACCTCAGCACGATCGCAGTGGCTCTGACTCCGTCATGATTACTAAGAATTTTAACAGCTATGCCAATTTGGCAATGTTTTTCATCGTTCCTGTTTTGTTTTGTTTTGGTTTTGAACACGAAACTTTACATGCTAAACGAGTGCTAGCTGTGTTTGATTTTTATTACCGTACGTAAGCTTGATTCTTCTGTTGCTACTTGCCGGCTCGCTTCAGTTCCAAAATTTCACTTTCAATTATCGGAAAAAAACTAAAAAGAAGTACCGGAAAAGCTCGAACATAGTACAATTGGCAGATGACGTGACAGCTGTAGCTCAGCTCTATGCTCTATACTCTCATAGAGCACGCTCTTTCAACCAATGACAGCGCGCGTTATATCCGAACTTTATTATAAATTGATTATATATCCGCATTTATACAAATAAATGTAATGACTCTTTGTTGAACATTTCGCTTCGCTATCATCCCTTGCGTGTTTGAGATAGCAATCAGCGGGGTCATTGCTCACTGTTCCTTACATGTGATTTAAGAATCTAACAGTAAAGTGAAGGTTGTATTATTATTTTTTCTTGTTTTAAATTGGTGTTTTGACGTAGGATGATCGATGTACTTTTACAGTAACATGCTTGATGTGCCACACTTACGAATCGAAGTTGTGTTGGTGAGAGACCAGACGAGGTTACTGTTTTGGAGAATAAAGAAATGTGTTATTCAACGCTCAACTGTCTCAACTTAGCCTCATCTAAATATAAAATTGTGCAGACACTATAGAAATGCCCTTGCTGTTCACAATCACACAGATAAGTATTATGATAGAGGGTTTGCCCCTTGAAAACAATGTAATTTTCTTATACTTGAAATCCTATACAAATCATCAGTGCGGAGAAAGCCTTAATAAATAAGGTCAAATATTTCAAACTCTGTACGAAGTTCTTCAAGAAATTTTTTTTTTAATTTGGGGGTGAAAACTTAATGCGAGTGTAGTTGGTCGATAAATAGGGCTTTTACTTAAAAAAGAGTATGGCTTTTATTGACCCAGTTTCGAAGAATCTAAATAATAACAACACTCAAATCATATCGAGACGTAAATTCCTCTAAGTTTCTCTTTGGACAGGAAATGGTCAGGACTGGAGTGAATTATTTTTTGCTTCATCGCGTCGTTAATCAATTCACTTTTTCAATCACGTTTATGATTTGAATGGATCAAGACCTACGAGTGTTTACATACAACAGGAAGGGGCAATGGTAGCCTTACCTGTAGAAACTTCCTTCCGTTTTGTCATGATTGCCACAGCAAAAACTAAAGTGGTAAGGGCTGTTAAGAGCGAAGCAACGGCAGTGGCAAATGCGATAAAGAGTGATCGGTGATGTTTCATTGTATCAGAATCTCTATACACCTGTGCTTTTACGTTTGGCTTTGCCTAAGGAGTGTCCTTTCTGAAAACTACATCGTCATAGGTTTCGGCGTGATCTTCCTGTTTAGATTCCATTTCGAAATAAACGTTCTCTTGCCCGACCTCGATCTTAGTATCCATCATTGGGTGGTATGATTATGCCGTTTGTAGATCGGATTAACTTTGGACAAGCTTAGGCAGGCCAAAGAGGCAATCACTGACGGCGCTCTTATGGGAAACAGTGAAAATTGACTGGTGCGTAAGCTGTCTGAAAATATAAAAGTAAACGTTTGTTTCGAAGAAAGTTTATAGACAGTACAGTGAACAATTCAACTGACCTAAAATGGTGATGTGAGTATTATTTAACAAAAAGATTACCCTCTCCTGTTATAGATCTAGGCTGTCATAATCAACTCGCTTCTTTAGATTTCGTTTTAAATAAATGTTTTTAATCCGTGTATCAATAATTTGAAGACGTTATGTAGATGATTAAAAGCCGAGGGGCACATGATGTTTCTGTTTTTCAGATGAGGTCAAAGGAGATTTTTATAGCTCTGTAAACATTCATCTCCACTCTCGTTTTTCTAATGACGATCCACTTTTGTTTTCCTCTACCTAAGATGAAGCCATAAAGCCAATGTACAATGCTGATGAAAGAACTGAATTTGCTCACAGCTCTTTCAGGAGTTCTATTTGAGACCAATCAAAAACCGATAATGTAAAGTTAAAGTTGCAAACAGTACTTATGTAAGGCCTGCTCTAGATCATAAGCAGCCTTGAGTCATCTGTATTCGTCTCAAGTCCTAACACCAGCAGAATCTCCAAATAATCCAGAAGGCAACAAAAACAACAACAAATAACCAAAACATTCTGAGAAGGCAAAAGCAGTGCAGGTATAAGAGGTAGGGGTGGGGAGGGGGACGCATTTCGTTCTGTCTCTCTGTCTCTGTGTCTCTCTGTCTCTCTTAGCATTATAGACTGATCTGACCATCCACTAGGCGCTACGGAAAGGATGTAGCTGAAATGCCCTCCAACAGAAAACGACATAACGCTCATAACGACATAATTCTGTTGCCGTCCTACAGAGCGATGGACTAAGTCTTAAATTAGCTGTAAATAATGGCTGCAATATGATTAACTCATACATTATTCGGAACCTGCCGCAACTGTGCAAGTTCAAAAATATTTATGACTCGACGACATAGTTTAAAATGATGCCGTCAAGAAATAAAACAGTTTAACTTCTAATGATTAGTTGGTGTTCTTTATCTGGCCGCTGGTTTGACACCCCCGATTTGTTATCTGTTTGATACAAAGTATCATGTCAAGTGAATAGTTTTAGGTTTCCAGCAGTGTACATGGCAAGAAAGCCTTGTTTCTTCTGTAAACAATATTTGCTACAAATAAAAATGTAATATAGCGCTTACGTTAGACAACTAAATTGTTTTTTCGTCTCGCCTTTGATTCAATATTCTATTAACATCTTTAAAACGACTCCTGTTAAACAAATGGCTTAACGTTTTCCTCTTTATAACTGACACTCCCAGTAGTGGATATAGCAAAACATCTTTGGTTCTCCAGTTGTTAGGGTACCCTCACAAGAGCACTTGAAGGTTCTCTTTCCACCTGAGATGGTGCTTGATAATTTAGCAACTTTTGCATCATTTGTATTACAACTTGCACCAATAACCGTCTTACCCTGAAGGAGAAAAAAGACCTTTAATGATTATGATACAATAATGACAATAAAAAATGGTGTCAAGAGTTCGAAATGCGAAAACCTAAACCAATTTTTTTCCTTTTCGAGATTAGGCAAGTGTACATGTTATATCATTCATGATGTAAGATGCACACGGCCAACAACCATAATCTGAGACATACTTTGTGAAAGCATGTTATCACAGGCATATATAATAAATGCATCCTTCAAATCTAGGAACTTAACAAAGAAATACGCGTTTTTTTTTTTAATACCGGCGTCTAAATGTATAAGATGGGATAAACCAATGCATTACCGGGTTCCCAAGCGGGCAGGTCGTTCGCGCATCATCTTTTCAAATCATTTTATTTTTTTAATTGGTCGACATACAGAGTCAGCAACTTTTTTGAAAATAAATTTATTTGCAAACCTTTCATCGTGCCCTGACAGGCTAAAGAGTTCATTACTTGTAGAATTATAAAACTAACCGTAGATATCCTGAAGGGTACGAAATTGTGAAGAACGCACTTTAATTGACATCTAGCGGTAAGATAAACCTGCCCAATAAGTTCGTGCTGAAGTTCGTAATAGTTTGTTCAATGTCTTCTTTCATATATGCTAAAAACATCAACTCGCCAAAAACTGATGAAGATTTGAGACTCAAAAGCGTCTAAATGAACTTGGGAGTTGAGTATACTTCGAATCTCAAAAGCGAGACGGACTAAAGGTGGAAAAAATAAAGGAAGGTTGTTGCCTTTAAGTGAGGCTTTTCGATATTTGGACACTCTTTGTACCTATGAATATTACTTCAAGTGTTAATATGTCTTAAAAAATTTTAAATAGAAGCTGTTTTATTTCAGAATTATACAACTTTCAGAATTTGCAGATCGATGAATGTTACTCGAATTTTCTGGCCGTGAAGTTGAGTAAACAACTAGTTAAGAAAACGGCTTGACCTTTAAATTTTTCCGGCTATTTCGCCATCCTTTCTCTTTGATAGCGTTTAGCATCTGATAACCCAGAAAATTTTGCATATTATGCGTATTGGGCATTTTTAATCGTAAATCGTTATTTCAGAGAAAAACTTTTGAAGTAAAAATACCAGTTGATTCACTAAAAATCGGGCAAAAAATACCAATACAGGCGGATTTTTGCATGAAAACGACGTTAATACCACTCTTATGAAAGTAGAAAATGTCATCATCAAACGTTTTTGCTGCGAAATTGTGCTGATAGGTTTTCTTCAAATCTTCATATCTCTTGGGAAATCTTCGTTCATTGCAACATTTCAACCTATCAACCTTTAAACTTGAGAAAAAATCCAGGAACCACTCTGCGTTAAATTTAGAGATCAAAAGTGTCAAAGCTTCCTAAAGTTCATTTATGATATCGAAGAACGAATAAGAGAGAACTTTTGGGAACAAATTGCTGATAAATCGCTCAATTCTTTTTTCTGTACCCAATAAAGAGCTGATCTGTAACCTACGTTTGGTTCCGTAACTTGAACTTCTTGTGTAGTGGCAGGGTCTGCTGTCATTCCAGAACTGGATAAAGTCTTGAAAGCACAGGAACTGACCCCGGGTCCAGGGGGTCCTTGGGTACCATTGTGCCCGGATGGTCCACGAAGACCCTGAACACCAGGTTCTCCAGATGGTCCTGCGGGGCCCTGAGTACCATTATATCCTGGCGGTCCGGGACGTCCTGCAGGTCCGGCAGGTCCAATGCCACCCTTAGTACCATTGTATCCTGGAGGTCCGGCAGGTCCAGCAGGTCCAACGTCACCATTACTACCGTTGAATCCAGGCGGTCCTATGATGCCCGTGCTGCCAGTAGTATTTTTCACCTACTCAATCAAAAAACAACAACAATTCATTGTAACCATAGCAATAAAGCCATAATAAAACCGATGACAGCTGTAATAATGATGACATTTACCGCAATAACAATGACAATAACAGTGACAGTGATAGAGAAAGTGACGATGACGGTGACAGTGAAAACAACAGTGAAAGTGAAGGTGAAAGTGATGCTGACAATGAGTGACAGTGGCAGTCAAAGTGGCACTGGCAGTGACAGTGACGGTGACAATGACTATGACAGTGACAGTGACAGTGGTAGTGGCAGTGGCATTTACAGTGAAAGTGACAGTAACAGTGACGGTGAAAATGCAGTAATAGAGAAAGTGACAGTGACAGTGACAGTGAAAGTGACAACAAAAGTGACAGTGATAGTGACGGTGACAGTAACAGTGACAGTGAAAGTGCAATAGCAGTGGCAGTGACAGTGGCAGTTACAAGACAGTGACGGTGAAAGTGAAAGTGACAGTGACAGTGACAGTGAGTGACAGTGGCAGTGGCAATGGCAGTGACAGTGGCAGTTACAAGACAGTGAAAGTGAAAGTGAGTGTGACGGTGAAAGTAACGGCGACGGTGACTGTGACAGTAACAGTGGCAGTGGCAGTGGCTTTGACAGTGAAAGTTAAAGTGACGGTGAAAGTGACAGTGGCAGTGACAGTGAAAGTGACAGTGAAAGTGACCATAAACATGACAGTGACAGTGACGGTGACACTAACAGTGACAGTGAAAGTGCATTAGCAGTGGCAGTGACAGTGGCAGTTACAAGACAGTGACGGGGAAAGTGAAGGAGAGACAGTGAAAGTGACAGTGACAGTGACAGTGGCGGTGACAGTGGCAGTGGCAGTGACAGTGACAGTGACAGTGACAGTGAAAGTGATAGTAATAGTGACAGTGCAATCGTAGTGAAAGTGACAGTAACAGTGACAGTAACATTGCAGTCATAGTGAAAGTGGCAGTGACAGTGAAAGCGACAGTAAAAGTGACAGTGACAGTAACAGTGAAAGTGGAATAGCAGTGAAAGTGACAGTGACAATGAAAGTGTCAGTGAAATTTACAGTGGCAGTGACAGTGAAATTGATAGTGACAGTAATAGTGAAAGTGACAGGGACAGTGACAGTGAATGTGACAGCGGCAGTGGCGGTGACAATGAAAGTGACAGTGGAAGTGGTAGTAGTAGTGAAAGTGAAAGTGAAAGTGGCAATAGCAGTGACAGTTACAGTGACAATGAAAGTGAAAGAGGCAGTGGCAGTGGCAGTGGCAGTGGCAGTGGCAGTGGCAGTGGCAGTGACAGTAACAGTGACAGTGAAAGTGACAGTGAAAGTGAAAGTGAAAGTGAAAGTGAAAGTGAAAGTGAAAGTGAAAGTGAAAGTGAAAGTGAAAGTGAAAGTGAAAGTGAAAGTGAAAGTGAAAGTGAAAGTGAAAGTGAAAGTGGAGGTGACAGGGACATGGAAAGTGACAGTGACAGGAACAGTGACAGGGACAGAGACAGGGACAGTGACAGTGACAGTGACAGTGACAGTGATAGTGACAGTGACAGTGACAGTGACAGTGACAGAGACAGGGACAGTGACAGTGACAATGGTAATGGCACTTCCAAAACGGGAGGCTCATTGATGAAAAGTTTCATTGATGGAAAACAACGCTGAATTAAGTTGGTTGTAAAAAAAGGAACCTAGTCAAGCCAAAATACTCATTTTAAAGTGCCTATGACATGAAAATTTTTTTTTGCATTTTCTGGTTATTAGCTCTATTTAAAATTAGAAATAACCAACCTTAGCGCCTAGCGAGTTCTCCTGGACTATTTTTTTGTGCACTGAAAGTGCGATTTGTTGGCCGGAGTGCCAAATGATGTTAGCTTTAAGAACAGTACAAATATACCGGGTATTTCTATACAATCCTTTCCAAAGGATGTAGTTGTATGGCAAACATGGACGCGTTTCGATTGCCGACATCGAGGAGATTTTACTCTTAAATGTGTTCGGTCTTTTGCTCCGAACCGAAGACGGCTGTTACGAACACAAACCACTAGTCAAATCCCGGGGGAGATATAAACCAATCAATTCTGCTAAAATAATGCTGATTAAAGGGCCTGTTCCCACACCGTACACGATTGTTCAACACTCTTTTAGGGTGAAATTTCGCATGCGTAGAATGGTGAGCTCCTTACGCATATCCCTTGTCTTTCCACATGACTACATCTGCACTTCTCTTATGAAAATCCTACCAATTGTAGTGTCCATCGTATTTTGATAACAGAAATACGTCATTTGTAATAAAGTTCGAGCCCTTTGCTGAGCTGACCGATATCTTGTTGTGTGTACAGTGCGAAACCTCTAGCGGATACTGGCATAAACACAAGCTCAAAGGGGCCGTGTATTCTCCTAACCTAGGTTAGGAGAATCCATCCCACGAGCCATCAATCCCCCCTGCCCTCAAGAAACTAAAAGTAGCAACAGTAGCAATGTCGTTGGGATAACAGCACTGCAACGAGAAAAATAATAAATGTATGTTATCGAATTAGATGATAGCGAATCCAAGTGCCGTGTGAAAGTCCATGCGTACGAAATATTTATTTACAATACTGATTTCAGTTGTTTGCCATTCATCGAAACGGGTCACTTCACAATGCTGCACTTGAACTACGAAGTTTTTATCTATTGAAATCTCTATCTGCGATTAACTTGAACAGATAACTATAACCTCACTCGTTTTCCGTTTGACTGGCTCGACGACGATAGCCTCTGCTTTTGCAATCTCTGAGGTAAGGAGCAACTTGCAGTGAAACTGCCCGATGACTTCTCGGCGAAAAATCATTGTGCCTCGTGATACAGCTGATTCTCTCGTCAAAGTTAGCTTTTGGTTTCCAAAGGGAAATACCCTACAGCAACGAAACTCTAGAGTACTGACCTAAGGCAACCTTCGCCGCGCTCAGTACGAAAGAATAAAATGTTATGGCAACAGAAACGAACACAGCTACCCAATCTTGACAGATTTCGTCATGGAAAACAAAACACAAACGCAAAAAACTAAGCATTCAGTGATGGGATTTTTTTGTTCTACTCTTGACCTAAACACCGCAAGCGAGAAACCTTCTTTATCGGTCTCCGTCGAAATCTTCGTTTGATGCACGCGGTTCTCCTTCGTAGGGCTCAACCGCACTTACAACTTTCATTTCTTCTTTACTAATAAAGTACGATGTATCACAACTCGCGGTAAAGCTTATCTGAGTTAAGTAGACATTGCTATCGAACATTATTTCAAGAGTATTTTAACACTAGCTGATACAAAATTACATGAGATGTGAGAGATTTGTAACTGTCAATTGAGAATTTCCCAGTTTTCTACGTCATCACCCGCTAATTCGTTACCAGTCCACGGGACACTTTTAACGCAAAATATGAGCACTTAGGTTTTTTTAAATTTTCTTCTAACGGAATTGGTTTGTACACATAATAAGCTAAATAGTTACGCAAAAAATATAACGCTTTCCAAACTATTTTGTGTTTTCCAAAATGGCATTTTCCGTGAAAAATGGACCTTTTAGACATATTTTTCATATCGATTCCGCAAAATATCGTGCTTTTTTCCAGACAAAGTGAAATGTTGGCTTTAAAGCAGCACTATTTAAGCAGAAAACACGGACATTTCTCATATTTGATAAAAGCAAAATGCTTCAGTTTTCACGGGTTAAGAAAATGTGTTGCTTCAAAAGAGCAACATTCTTTATAATTCAACGGAAAGTTACAATTTACTCGTACAAATATTCATTTTTTTTACTGCGTTGCTTGTTAAATCTGGTCAAAGTGCACATAATGCTCTGCACGTTTAAGAATGGAACGATAAAGTCTTTGATTTTAACCCTTAATATGTTTAGGCGGTTTTTTTTTCATTTTTATTTGACATGGTATCAAGAACTGTAATGCAGAAATTCTGCAAAGTTTGACGGCCCAAGCGTGCAAAAATTCTGCACGCCTTGACATCCAGTGCTGCAGAAATTCTGCATGGTATGTCGTCCAATGATGCAGAAATTCTGCAAGGTTTGACGTCCAGTGCTGCAGAAATTCTGCACGCCTTGACGTCCAGTGCTGCAGAAATTCTGCATGGTATGGCGTCCAATGATGCAGAAATTCTGCAAGGTTTGACGTTCAGTGCTGCAGAAATTCTGCACGCCTTGACGCCAGTGCTGCAGAAATTCTGCACGCCTTGACGTCCAGTGCTGCAGAAATTCTACACGCCTTGACGTCCAGTGCTGCAGGAATTCTGCACGCCTTGACGTCCAGGGCTGCAGAAATTCTGCACGGTATGACATCCTGAGTTAAAGAAATTTTCTGTGTTGCAAGGTCAATGCTGCAGAAATCCTGAGTCGTTGCTTTTCCATTCTCAAAAAAGACAAATTGTAGAGGGCCCACGCATACCAACAATTTCGATCAGTTTTCTATTTATGCTTTTTCTATTTTTCAGTGATCATAGTTGAAATAACAATATTGTGTATGTTTTTTGAATGATAGGATAAACTTGTGAAAATAAATCCACGGTTGGAAACTAAAGGCTATTAACAGAGGCCCATACCCGTTTTATCAAACAGAACTAATCATAAATCATGCAGGCTTTTAATCAAATGCCAAAAGGTTAGTTGTTGAAAGGAAATTAATTTTCTCTTCCCTGCAAGAAAAAAAAATCGCGTAATTAAATTTTTGTACACATTCAGGATGAGCTCAATCAAAGAAAAGATGGAAGTAATCCTGTCTTGGCATAAGGAGAGCTCATCTGTTGCAGAATAAGATGATCTGTTCATTTTTAAAGAAATTTAAAATTAGATGACCTTGGAATGAGGACACTTAAAGCCGAATTTACATCACCATCACTGAGTGACGATATCGTCATTTATTCATATGAGATAAATGTTTTTCCTCGGAGTTACCCGTTCAGTAATTTTCATTTCAACTGACGATACAAGATTTGGATTTTTGACTCCTCTTCCTTCTGTTCACAAGGCGATACAGTACTGTTGATTTAATAGTATCCAAGAAAATTAGTCTTTCACTGCCCACACATAATTGTCTAGGTGTCATTTGCCTTGAAACAGACCAGCGTACAATTACGGGGGGTTTGTAAGGCCTCCTTCTGTACGTATGGATCTGAAAAATTAAAAGAAAGTGAAGTTACATCACATGGACATTTCAAAACAGGATGTATGAATTAATCAGCACTATCTTGAGTATGATTTGAACAGGTCTTGGTGTAACTAGGCTAGCTTGGCTTTTGCGCAGATAATGTTTTACTGAAGTTTAGCTGTACTGAACCTTTCGTATAACCGTGGGTTTACTGAAGCAAATTGAAACGTATCCCTTCAGTGAATTCGTTGGAACTAATTTGTCCTGAGAGAGGACCAGTAAGATATTGCAGGCCTAAGACGAATGTTCAAAAAATCAGTTCACGCTTCATGGACATAAAAGAGAAAATTTCTAATCTCTCCTCTTATGTTCATGGTTTCAGGGAAATCTTGAGGTTTTCACGCTATGAAAAAAAAAGAGAAAATTCAGGTTCAAGGATACTTCAGGCCTCATACAATTTCGTAAATTCACGAATAACGTTAACCTTTCAGTAAAATTCACGCGTCGCATTATAACTTTGGCCTTCATCACGCGTCACGTATAAACCCTTAGTGATGCACCAGTTTATTCATACCTTAAGTTTCCTCTCAGAAAGTGATTCTCCACAGGGTCCAGCAAAGGAATGTGATGACTTTTGCAAAAAGTCCGCACCGATTATTTTTGGAGAAAAGGTAAACTCTTGTTCCTGTTCTGTAAAGATACGCAGCTCCTGATTGTATTATTTTGATGCACCATACTTCCAATACTCCCATTCCCCTTATCTTTCGGAGGCATCTGGCGTATGAAGAATTTAACGGACGCAATGAGATGTGAGTTAGTTCAAAGACCAACTATTTTCAAAGCCGACAGACCCATGAATCACGAACTCGTGTCTTCTCATCATTGCCTCTCTTATTATAAAATTTAGGGCGCAATTAAGAGCGGCGAAGAGAGAGTCGCAAACAACGACATTTCTGTCTGAGGTTTTCACACCTTCAAATCAATTAAGAATATGACATTTTCCCGTGAGTACTTATCTAATCAACTTAAAGCTTCCTTGATTCTTTCTCTTGCTCGTTAACTGTTCGAAATACCTTGCAATTGTAAGGCCTTGTCCACACTAAACCTTTTTAAGCTCAGAAATTTGAGGTTTTTTTTTTTACCCATACTAAGAAAACAGATCTACTTTTCTTCGTCCCGGCGGGCTATAAGTACGCTGGCGGCACATTGGGCATGCACTCAATTATGGTTAATTATAGAACTAAAGAGCCGCGACGCCGGCGGTTTTGAAAGGCGCCGATTTCGCTCAATGAATACTGACCTTCACATGCTTAGCGCTCACGGTAGGCCTAGTTAAAGATATAAAGTCTCCATTCGTTTGCACTATATACCTAATTGGCGAGCATAGGGTTAGTATTTCGATTACAACTCGTAAGCTGTGCACTGTGCAATTTCACCGACGAGGGACAAAAGTCCCTTCAACCTAGTGGTTTACAAACCTAATATCCTAAAAATCGTAGAATTGGGCTTTAGTCAGTTTTGTTTGCTATGCGCTCTTGTCAGACTCTGAGTGGAGTTAATTTGTATCCGTCGAACAAAAATATTTCAACCCATGATGGCGAGGACACCTGAAACATATCCCAGTTCTACGAGGCAAGATAATTTTTTTTACGATTCGGGAATCACCAGCAGAGGAAAGACATCCCAATGGCCGAATTTATACTAGAGACGAGTTATCCGTCAGAGACGAATCACCCGTCTCAGACGGATAACTCGTCTAAATATAAATTCGGTGCTAAGACGAATTATGGAGCAAAATTCGTCTCAGGCTGATCCGTCTGTCACCACGTCTTCAAGACGTGCTAACAGACGGATAGCTCGTCTTAGACGGATCATCCGTCTCTAAATTTTTTTCTAGACGGAAAACGAACACGGTTTTTGACAAAGTTTCCATATGAGAGAGACTGGTTTCTATAGTTTTGCCAGTTTTGAAGGCCGTCCTCTCACCATTTCTTGTTTTTTATCTCATCTCTACTTCTTGTCTTCCTATCTTGAGCAAGAGTAGCGAGAGAAAAGGGTAAGATGAAGTTCATTAAGCTATTTTCCGGCTCAAACATGCGCTTGACAGAGGATATTCTTCTCTGATATACCGCCATATCCAATACTGTTCTTCTCGATTTCATCAACAAGGCTACGAGAGCCGCCATATTTAAGCTCTCGCCAGGTTTCCACTCGGCTCAACACCGAGACACTCGTCGTGAAACTCGCGAACGATTTATATCTAGACAGATTATTCGTCAAAATTTGTCTTCGGATTTATACTTGGACGGATTATCCGTATGACGGATGATCCGTCTCTAGTGTAAATCGGGCCAATTAAGATCAGTGGGTTGACTTCGATGACTCAAACAATTCTTTGAATGCAGGATCTTTCATTTATGGAGAAATAATTCCGGATTTAGAGAGTCAATTAGAAATTGAAGGTAAAGTTAAAATCACCTGAATACAAAGTATCACAAGCAGTCAATTCAGTGTCGATAACTTTTCAAATTTCAAGGTTGACAAGAGGTCAGAAGTATGCAAGTGTGACAGGTAACGCGAACTTCAGTCGTAATGTATCGTAACGATAAATGTAGTTTAGTGTTATCAACTGAGTTGACAACGTAAATTGGCCACTGTAAAGAATTTAAAGGCTGACGTTTCGAGCGTTTGCCCTTCGTCAGAGCGATTGGGTAACGATAAATATAGAGCGATTAGGTAACGATAAATGGTCTGAGTGAAACTTTGTTTGTCAGGCACAAGTTTGCGATCGCATCGATATAGATACAATTTTACCTAAAGCTTATCGAATCGTCATCTCTAAGTCTATCTCTTATTTATGAATTGTATGTTTTCACTCCTCGAGGGAGATGTAGAACCCACAAACATTTGATAAAAGCACATTTTAGGCCAATTTTGTTGTTGCGAAAATTGATACGATGCTTAATTCACTTCGGTTGAATTACACTTTGATAAAAATTAGTAAATTATTTCAGATTTCTTGGATTCCGTCGTTGTTTTCAATGTAGAACCCGGCCAAAACCAGAAGGCGCCCTCACATTGGCTTTGTAGAGTGGGTCTTCAGTACATTATTCCTTCCATTGGTTTGTGACTTATTAGGCAACATTGCACGGTTCGACTTTCCTTATTCTGGAAACAGTTTCAGCTGACAGAGAGAGAGGATTGTTTTTCCTAGAGGCTTATTTTTGCCCTCTTATTGAGATACACATGTAGCATTATAACCTTCTGTAAAAATTGGTGGAGATATTAATTAAAATCTGGGATACTGTTAATTTAGTTTCCCTCTGAATAGTGAACGGTTTAAAGTTTTCATTCGAAGGTTGAGCATTAATTTCCCTGTAGTCTTCTCCAAGACAATGCAAGATTTAAATGATATATTTGCTCTTAATTTATCACGTGTACAGATCTTTTAAAATAGGTCAAAGGACTGAAATCGTGACTAGTTAATATATTTTGGCTAGAGTAGATTGCTTATTTGCTGTATAACAAACTTCAATTTTATTAAATTAATGATATTTTTCAGTCAGTTTTTGTATCTGATCATAAAATAAAGTGATATGACTTAAATTGTATGTTGTGCATTAAGCCACGTGCTATTTTAGGTACATAATTCCTGTTGAAAGTTAATTGACAGAATATTCGTTGCATCTGTTATTGACTGGTTAGAGAAAGACTGTTATATTCATGTATCCATGAGTGAATTTCTGCAACATCTAGTGAATGAGAGGATGCAGAATTTCTGCAACATCCAGTATATGAGTAGTCACAGTGTTTCTGTGACATTCAGTGACATTCTGTGACATTCTGCGATACCTTGTGAATGAGTGGTTGCAGAATTTCTGCGACACTCAGTGAATGAGTTGTTGCAGAATTTCTGCAACACCCAGTGTATGAGTGGTCGCAGAATTTCTGCAAAACCTGGTGAATGAGTGGTGCAGAATTTCTGCGACACCCAGTGAATGAGTGGTTGCAGAATTTCTGCAACACCCAGCGTATGAGTTGTCACAGAATTTCTGCCACACTTAGTGTATGAGTGGTTGTAGAATTTCTGCGACACTTAGAGTATGAGTGGTTGCAGAATTTCTGCAACACCCAATGTATAAATGGTCGCAGAATTTCTGCAACACCCAATGTATAAATGGTCGCAGAATTTCTGCAACATCCAGTGTGTGAGTGGTAACAGAATTTCTGCGACATCCAGGGGACTAGTGGTTGCAGAATTTCTGCAACACACAGTGCATGAGAGGTTGCAGAATTTCTGCAACATTCAGTGACTGACTGTGAGCAGATTAGTCGGATTACCTCTGCATCTTTTCATGATTGTCCATAAGCTAATTTCGATTGTGACATTTTCAAGCTTGATATTAAATACAAAAAAAACTATCCCCTGCGTTCCACAGACATTAAATGTATGTAAACAGGTCGCTTTCAAAACAACCTCAGAATTTTCTGGAGTAGCTTTGTTCAATGCAGACTCTTGCAAAGTGTGAAGAGCTGTATGCTTGACAATCTTCGAAAATACCCTTTTACTCACAATTGAAAACACTCTCTGTTTTTGCGTAGGTTTAGAGGCATATGTGTATCACGTACTTTGTGATGACCATTAAGTTACCTAACTTTAATCGGAAGAAGCCATGATATCGGAAGTTTAGGGCAGTGACTTGGCACCAATTTCAGATCAAGTCTCTGATTGGTTAATTCGTAATTCGGTACGAAAAGGCATACAAAAATACATTTGGGTACCTTTTGATCCAGTTGCACAATTCTTTGTTGAAAATGCAGAAACCTCTCATTTACGCTTGTGTTTAGACCAATAAAAACGTGGGCAACATCCTGTATTGCGAGACGGATATCCTCTAGCTCTGTATTTCTGCCCTAAAAGGTAAAATGGGCCAAGTTATTGTGTTAGAGAATTAGTGGGCCTATTGAGTTTGGTAAATTAAGTAGAACAGTCCTCGTTTTGTTTTTGAAAATAATGATGATAGGAATCTTAACAGTGAGAGGTTCAGAAAAAGATAAATGCTTAATTTTGGTAATGAAACTTACTTTGTTTGTCATGTTTTCCATTTCTTTTTTCATCTGCCATAGAGTAAGACATTGATGTTGAACTTAATGGAATCATCGTAATTTTTTCTAATATAGATAGAATTGGAAATGGATGAATTTAAACTTGCCTTTATCTCTAGCCCTTCCAACTCTTCTGAGACCTAACATAAGGAGGAAAAGAAAAAAAAAGAAACTTCTCAATATCATATCGTTTTGAATGAATGGTTCATTCACGATCATTATCATTATTGTAAATATTAACAATAGGAGAATGATTAAGATTATTGATGGAATGGATTGTAAACTTACGTTTTTCTTCAGTTCCCTTACATCCCCTGAAACCTTTAACAACAAAAAATGTGAATCAATATTCCTGATCGAATTTCTTCATTGAAGAATGCATTCTTGGCATTTGTTATTCATACTGATCTTGTTATAATGATGGCTATATGGGTGTGCAATTTGCATTATAAGGTTCGCAACTGCTATGCTTCCAAAACTGGTTCAAAAAATTAGGAGAGCACTAATGATGTCTGTGATAATGATACTTAGGCCTATATCAATGTTTATCAGCCTGATTAGAAATAAAATTTATATCACCCCATTGAAAAAGTTAAATGATGCCTCCAGCTTGTGCTCCAGGGAAGTATTAAAGCTCATTTTAAAATCTCGATTTCTATACTATATTAACTAATTCTCAGGGGGTTAAAAGTCCTATTGAGGCTCTTAGTCATATGTACATACATGTACCTATGTATTTCATGTCAGTGCATTTTGCTTTTATTTGATCACTGCTAAAGATTACGAATTACTCCTACCGAGTAATCTCTTAATGCAGAGAGGCTCCTTTTCAACTCTTGCATATTCTTTTGAAGTTCTGACGTTTCTAGAAAAGGGGAGACAATAAGAAAAACATAGAAAATGTAAGAAAAAGATAATGAAGGATTTCAAATGAAAAGAAGAACACATGGATAAATATAAATATAAAGATAAAGCAATTAACACATGTTGAAGTTATATAAAGTTATAAGCAAATGTTGACACCGTTCACCAAACATCTTTAATACAAAAAGGAAGAAATAGGACCAACTCATTCTTGAACTATTGCAAACAATCACTATCAAGAGAATTATTTGTCCAACTCTCAAAAATGTGGTAAGCAAAAGGCCTTTTTCCTGCTTGTTATATGTAAACGATCTTTCCAAGTTAGTGCACCATTCGTAAGGAAGAAGGTACATTGTATGCCTATAATAACAGCACTACATTTACGAGAAATGATGTCAAAATTGAGAAGAAAAAGAAAATTTCGATCTGCACCTGGAAAGAAGTCGATTATGGCTTGAAGCAATCTACCGTAGGTTCCTTCGAATTTGTCAATAGCTTGTCAGTAACGCTTCACCCAACGAATTTTGGATAAGATTCTGACAAAATTCTACGCTGAAGTCCGAAAAAAAAAATTCAACAGAATTCGAAGCCTACTCGCTTCGCATTGTGCAGGCATCACTCGACAGGTATCTCCGCCGAAAATATTATTCGGCATCCATCATCAGCGGGCGAAAGTTCAAGAAGTCTCTAGAGACTCTAAAGACTCTTTTCGTTCCTTGGCTGTACGCCTGGTTGATTATTTAATTGATTGACACTTGAACGGTGGATTGGTTGTTGCTAAGTAATCGTTTTGCTTGAGTGGTTTTAGTCTTTACTATTATTATTTTTTATTTTTATTTTTTCATCTTTGTTTTAAAAGCCGATTTGAAACGTTGCATTTCACTTTGGTCGAATATTTTAATGATCACGTTTTGAATAATCATGTTTTTTTGGTTAATTTTTTTTCCGAAATTGTAATGGTTACAATTAATTGGCGACAGGACTCAGTGTCGTCCTATTCTGTCAGTAATGTTATTAGTGATTGGCAATCACTCTTATGACTAAACACCGAATTGGACTTCACTCGGTTCTACAACCATTTTTAATTATCTACATGGAACTTTGAATTTTCTTGGTGTGTATGTTAATCAAAATTTCAATTTCAAAGTTTATTAAGGGGAGATTGATTTTTATGTTAATAAATGAATTCACGTGTTTATTACCGCAAGCCCCATTGAAAACATGAACATTTATGCTTTTCACTATTTATCATAACCTCATCTTTGGTCAGATATTATTACGCATATGGTTTACTTTTCGTGCCTCGACTAACAATTTTAGATATTGAAAAAAGATGAAAAATGGTCAAAGTTCTAGATTCGATGACTCGGAGCGTTTGCATCATTTACAATGCCTCCAGCCTTTGCATACTACATGACGCTAACTTGGTGTTGAGAGGCTCACATCATTAGGATACCCTTTTGAAGAACGCACTATATATGTCAAAGATAGATTATTCGCTAGCTAAATTCGAAATTTTTCCTTTCATCCTAAGCAACCGTGACAACATCCAAAAAGTCACTGAATGTATTATTTAACGCTTAGTTGTCACAACTTAGCCTTATCTGAATATCAAATCATGCAGACACACTAGGAATGCCCTTGTTTTTTATGATTACGGATAAGTATTATGATGGACGGATTTCCCCTTCTATAAACAATGTTCTCAGAAATCGATTTCCCCTTCAACTACGTACATCAAATTTGACCTTCTCGAAATCCGGTCTCAAATGACTTACTAAAAAAACAGTGATTGCGCTTTTCACTATTGATATTTTTTAAATCCTCATCTTTTGTCAGATATTATTGCACATATGGTTTATTTTTCGTGCCCCGACCAACAATTTTGTATATTAGAAAGAAATGAAAACTGTTTTCAATTCAATGACCCGGAGCGTTTGCGTCAATTACAATGTCTTCGGCCTTTGCATACTACATGACGCTAACTTGGTGTTAAGTGGTTCACATCATTAAGATACCCTTTTGAAGAACGCACATTATATTTCAAAGATAGATTATTCGCTAGTTAAGCGAAGCCAAATAAATACGATATTTTTCCTCATATCCTAAGAAACCGTAAATCACTATTCAGCCAAATTAAAGAAACAGATGTAACAGGACAGTAACAAACAGAGAATAAAGATAGGAACTGGAATCACTATTTTATTGCTCAACAACACTGATAAGGGATGACCTCAGAGAGCTAATTTATTATCTACAACAGGAATTTCCTACCCCCAGTAACCTTAAATGAAATCAAAATAAAGGAAAATTGTTCATTTCTATACTCTAATTGTTGAATTAAAATGGTGTAACACAATTTTCAAATAAAAAAAAAAAAAGCATCATTAGCCTTTGAAAAATCTCATGGAAAAAAAATCTCTTGGACTATTAATTAAACGTTGCATTCAGTTAAAATTTTTGAGGCATACAATTAAAGAAACTAGGGTAATTGAAGCTGATTGATGGTGGAATGTGCACGGACACGTTTTGGTCTCCATACTTTGCATACAGATTTCCCCTTCTATAAACAGTTTTCTTAGAAATCCTATACAAATCATAAGTGCGGGAGAAACTCTGGTGAATAAAGGTCTAATATGCAAAAGTCTGATCAAAGCTCTTCAAGAAATTTATTTTGTTTGGGAGTAGAATTTTTTATGCGAGAGTGGTCTGTCAATAAATTGGACTTTTTTATTTAAAAAAGACGATGGCTTTTATTGACCCAGTTTCTTGGAATCTTAATAATGACAATACTCAGATCATATCGAAACGGAAGTTCCTCTAATTTCCTCTTTAGACAAGAGATGGTAAAAACCAAAGTGAATTGTTTTTTGCTTCATCGTGTCGTTTAATTAGTGCACTTCTTCAATCACTTTTAATATTCGAATGGATCAAGACCTACAAGTGTTTAATACTTACAAAAGAGAGGAGCAATGGTACCCGTACCTGTAGAAACTTCGCTCCGTGCCGTAATGATTGCCACAGCTAAAACCAAAGTGGCAAGGGCTGTTAAGAGCGAAGCAACAGCGATGGCAGATATGATAAAGAATAATGGGTTATGCTTCACTGTATCAGAATCTTTATACTGCTGTGTTTCCACGTTTGGTTTTGCCTGTGAAGTGTCCCTTCCAAAAACTACTTCGTCATAGGTTTCGGCGTTATCTTCCTGTTTAGATTCCATTTCGAAATAAATGTTCTCCTGCCCGACCTCGATCTTAGTATCCATCCTTGGATGGTATGATCGTGCCGTTTGTGAAACAGATTAACTTTAGACTCTTCTTGGGACGAAACGTGCTTAGGCAGACCAAAGAGATGCTGAAATGCGATGCGATATGATCATGTGATCATCACTTACCCGAGAGAGCTAAGATTGACTGGTTCGTGAGGTGTCTTAAATAGGATAATGACAGGAAGTATTTATTAGGACGTAGATTTATAGATTGTACAATAAAGGATTGAACTGACCTTAAATGATGACAAAAGCATTATTGAACAAAATGATTAAGCTGTCTTGATATTGATCCAGGTTATCATTATCTACCCACTTTCCAGCGTACAGTGAGATATCAGGGTAAAAACAAATGAGGTATAGAGGTTTTCCGTTCGGATGTCATGAGGAGCTTTGGTCCCGAAAAAAATTCGCAGCTTACATTCTACGGAGGCGCTATATTTCTGTCATCAATGTAGAGAATTACATCAACTTTTGCGGTCGGTAGGTGTCTATGCGGTTAGTTAAACCTGTTGATTGTAAGTTAAAGGTTCACCTAATAATTAATACTTCATCTATGCTCGAATTTCAATTACGAAAAAGTTGAAAAGTGATTTGTATAGGATTTCTAAGAAAACTGTTTATAGAAGGGGAAATCCGTCCTTCATAATACTTATCCTTAATCATGAACAACAAAGGCATTCCTATTGTGTCTGGATGATTTGATATTTAAGTAAGGCTAAGTTGGAACAAAAGAACGTTGAACAACACATTAAGTGGCTTGCGGGATGTTGTCAAAGAGTAAAACAATTCAGAAGTGAAACCCGAAACTGTCATATTATATCATTCCACTCATTTTTTAGCATAATTTGTTTGTTTTGTGAATTTTCGGCATGTAGTAGGACCACATCTAAAAAACATAGAAAATATATAAGGTAATGTACAGGTCGATATATATATATATATATATATATATAAATATCGTTTTGACACCAAGTTAGCGTCATGTAGTATGCAAAGGCTGGAGACCAAAACGTGTCCGTGCACATTCCGCCATCAATCAGCTTCAATTACCCTAGTTTCTTTAATTGTATGCCTCAAAAATTTCAACTGAATGCAACGTTTAATTAATAGTCCAAGAGATTTTTTTTCCATGAGATTTTTCAAAGGCTAATGATGCTTTTTTTTATTTATTTATCGTACCTTCTTGGGTAGTGTATACCTGAGGATTACCTTTTGATCTCTTGCATACCCTCTTGGGTAGTGTATACCAGAGGATTAATTTTTAATATCTTCTATACGCTCTTGGGTAGTGTATACCTGAGGGTTATTTTAATCTCTTCTATACCCTCTTGGGTGGTGAATACCTGAGGGTTATTTTTAATCTCTTGCATACCCTCTTGGGTAGTGTATACCTAAGGGTTATTTTTAATCTCTTCTATACCCTCTTGGGTAGTGTATACCTGAGGGTTATTTTTAATCTCTTCTATACCCTCTTGGGTGGTGAATACCTGCGGGTTATTTTTAATCTCTTGCATACCCTCTTGGGTAGTGTATACCTGAGGGTTATTTTCAATCTCTTCTATACCCTCTTGGGTAGTGTATACCTGAGGGTTGTTTTTAATCTCTTCTAAACGCTTTTGGGTAGTGTATACCTGAGGGTTATTATTAATCACTTCTAAACCCTCTTGGGTAGTGTATACCTGAGGGTTTTTTTAATCTCTTGCATACCCTCTTGGGTAGTGTATACCTAAGGGTTATTTTTTAATCTTATGCATAGCCTCTTGGGTAGTGTATACATGAGGGTTTTTTTAATCTCTTCTATACCCTCTTGGGTAATGTATACCTGAGTGTTTTTTTAATCTCTTGCATACCCTCTTGAATAGTGTATACCTGAGGGTTATCCTTAGTCTCTGCTATACCCTCTCGGGTGGTGAATACCTGCGGGTTATTTTTAATCTCTTGCATACCCTCTTGGGTAGTGTATTCTTTGGCATACAAAGCTTTGCTTTCATGTCCAAATTGAGCACTCTACTAGGATGAGTCATTGCTGCTAGCATTATGCATGCTCACTAGTTTTTCTAGTTTGAGCACTCTGGCATGGCTTAGATGATCCCGCATGTGTGAGATCACTTGGGGTGGCTATATGGCCTTACCTCCAGCATCAGCACTGCACTGATGAGGCCCAGAAGGCCGAAACAGTGCTGTCTGCAGTTAGATATAGCTCTTTGGCATACAAAGCTTTGCTTTCATGTCCAAATTGAGCACTCCACTAGAATGAGTCATTGCTGCTAGCATTATGCATGCTCACTAGTTTTTCTAGTTTGAGCACTCTGGCATGGCTTAGATGTGTGAGATCACTTGGGGTGGCTATATGGCCTTACCTCCATTCTAGCATCAGCACTGCACTGATGAGGCCCAGAAGGCCGAAACAGTACTGCCTGCAGTTAGTTATATATATATGTGTATATATATACATATAAATATACATACATATATATATATATATATATATATATATATATAAATCACTCTGGAGCATCAATAATAGGGTTTTAACAATTAGGCAAACGTCTAAAACTTAAATGGCTTTTATTTCCCCTAAGGTATATACACCATCAAGCGAAACTGCGTGAAATTACAATTTTGGGCTATATGAATTTTCCAAAAATTCGAAAGGAAAATTCTATAAATCTGTTGAAATTAAGAGTACAATTGCTAAACTGAGAGTTTGGTATAATTCGAACTGGGTGCGTTTGGCGTTAGGTCACCACCAGCTTTTTATCACTGGCCACAGAACTTACACAGGCGTTATTATTGTCCGAACAAACACTTTTCTGGCGGCTGAGCTATCCTTTACCAAACCTTTTCTTGATGTTATGCTTTGTACGTTTTCAATGACGCAAAAATACTTTGATTTCTCTCACGAACGCGACAAAAAAACGTCGTGAAAATAGCAATGCCTTCTCGATTTTAATTGTTTGCTTTTATCGTACTGTTGTTTGATTCTCCCCTTTCCGGCATTTGTTTATTTCAGCTTGCTAAACCACACGAACCGAGAAAGTGACTATATTTAAATTCTTAGAATCGTCTTGATAAGCTTTCGCACGAGAAAAAATTGACATCCGTTATATTCGAGAAAAAGAGAGATATCCGCCCTGGCAGGTTGTAGCTTCCTTGGGAGAACATGAATATCTTGGAACACAGAAAGAATGAGGTAGTTTGTATCTCAAGCCGAATAGACTGCACTGCTCTTACGAAGTCTTAAATAAGTAAAGTTTTCCTCGATGATCAAAGGAAACATCGCTGACTCGATTCTTTTATTTCGGTGAATCATTATTGGTTTCAGGAGATGATTACCACTAATCTAGTCTTAAGACGCATTATAATACATCCGAGAGCTTTTGTATTTATTCGATAACTGCGATTAATAAAAAAACAACAAACAAAAGACAAAATTGCTCCTACCGATTTATTTTGTAGAGCCGAGAGGACCCTCTCCAACTCTAGTAAGTTGTTTGATACTTGTAAATGGAAAAATAAGAATGATGATTAAACGCAGAGGGCTTGATTTATTATACACCTGCATTACATGTTAAACATTTTCTTTGTTTCGCTTTCATCCCCCGCATATTTGAGATTGCTCACAATCCCATACATGTAAGTTATCAATCCAAAAGTGATAGGTTTTACATCTATTTTTCTTTTTTTAAATTGCCGTTTCGATCTAGAATAATCTATGTGCTTTTACAGTAATATGCTTGATGTGCCTCACTCGCGAATCGGAGTTGCGTTAGTGTGAGAGCAAACGGAGTTACTTTTACAGAAATGTGTTATTCAACGCTCAGTTATCACAACTTAGCCTTATCTAATATCAAATCATGCAGATATAATAACAATGCCCTTTTTATTCATGATTACGAATAAGTATCATGCTGGACGGATCGCCCCTTGTGCTGGAACAATGTCATTTCCTTAGACTCAAAATCCTATACTAATCATCAGTGTGGGGAAGGCTCTAGTGAATGAAGATCAAATATTTCAAATGTCTTGAAGAATTTCGTATTACCACGTACTACGAAATTCTTCAAGACATTATTTCTTAACTCGGCGATGAAAATTTTATGCTAGAGTAGTTGGTCGATGAATTGGGCTTTTTACCAAAAGAAGGTGGCTTTAATGGACGTTATTTCGTGGAATCGTAAAAATAACAAGACTCAAATCATATCGAAAAGGAAGTTTCTCCAATTTTCTCTTTGGAGAGGAAATTAAATGGTCAAGACCGAAGCGAATTATTTTTTTGCTTCATCGTGTCGTTTGACTGTTGCCACTTTTAATGGATCAAGACCTACGAGTGTTTACTTACAACAGGAAGGGGCAATGGTAACCGTACCTGTAGATGCTTTCCTCCGTGCCGTCATGATTACCACAGCTAAAACCAAAGTGGCAAGGGCATCAGGTCAGTGATGATCACATGATCATCACTGACCTGATGAAATAGCGAAGATTGACTGTTGCGTAAGCTGTCTTAAAATAGGATAATGACAGGGAGTATTTGTTTCGACGTAGGCTATAGATTGTACAATAAAGGATTGAACTGACCTTAAATGATGATGAAAGCATTATTGAACAAAATGATTATGCTGTCTTGATATTGATCTAAGTTATCACTATCTACCCACTTTCCAGTGTACAGTGAGATATCAAGGTAGAAACAAATGAGGTTTTCATTTTGATGTTTTAGTCTTCGATGGGCTGAAGTCGAACCAAAATTAAAATTTTCTTGCCTTTAATGATCCACTGGTTTCGTAGAGGCCACCTTTGACTGCATTTAGTTCTAAGGTAATTTGAGAGGTGGCATGAAACATTTTCCGAAATAGCTACTTTTAATTTCAACTTAATGCTATAGAGGCGTTGAGAAGGATGGGAAAGGAAATATTCAGAAACCCTTTCAAAGCAAGATGCTGTAACCATTTTTTTCCTTTCTCAGCATAATGCTAATAATATTAGGCAAATTCAAATGCATTCAAATGTTTTCGCTCTCGAATTAAGCATTATTTGAATGTCTAAAGCTGAGCTTTCCATTTTCTTTAGGGGGTTGGAGGGGGGAGATGGATTTTGTGTAAAATTCACCCAATCCATTTGAATCGGTCGGAAGAAGGGACATCCTTTTTACCGCATCATGAAGTTCCTCAGTCCCAGAGGGTTTCACCGAGCATTATGACATGACCATCGCGCAAGGCTGTCAACACGGGGGTTCCTGTAAACCTTACAAAGGCAAAAAGAGCGGACAGGAAAGTTGGTGATGAAAAAGGAACTGTGTTTCTGATAAATAAATTATGCACACCTTTGAATGAGAATGGATGATAGGAAAGTCTTAGCCTATTAACTTTGACATCATGTAAAGTAAAGACAATGTGGCTAAATAGGGTGACTCTCGACTGAGTGTGGGAAGTAATACTACTTTGCTTTTACTTAGCATGACTTCACAAAAAGATTCAATAATTATGATACTGATGATAATGATAAATTATCCCCTGGGGTTCCCGGGTACCTATACCCATATGCCTCGCAAGGGCAAAAAGAGCGGACGCGACAATGAGTGGTGAAAAAGGAACAGCGTTTCTGATAAATAAATCATGTAAATCTTTGAATGAGTACGGATGACAGGAAGTCTTAGCCTATTAACTTTGACATAATGTAAAGTAAAGACAACGTGGCTAAATAGGGTGACTCTCGATTGAGTGCGGGAAGTAATACTACTTTGCTTCTATTTAGCATGACTTCACATTGTGATAAGTCTGGAAATCTCTCATCCTCTTTCTCACGCTTTGAGCAGATAGCCTGTTTTTACTTTTATTTCATTCTGATTTTGGTTTTACAATACTCAACTGAAATGCCCTCTGTAAGAAAACCCAGTTTACTGGGCTTATTTGAAAAATATTATTTACGTTTAACCACTAAATTGTTTTTCGTCTCGTTTCTGAATCAACATTGTATTATCTTCTTCACAAAGAGTCCTGTTCATTAAATGGCTTTCCGTTTTTCCTCTTATGACTTACACTCCCAGTAGTGCATGTTGCAATACATCTTTGCTTCTCCACTTGTTAGGGTACCTTCGCAATAGCACTTGTAGGTTCTCTTTCCACCTGAGTGGGAGCTAGTTAATTTAGCAACTTTCGCGTCGTTTGTATCACAGTTTACGCCAATAAAGATTTTACCCTGGCAGGAAAAAAAGATAATAATATGATACTGATGATAATGAAAAACTACGTCAAGAGTTCGAAATGTGGATGAGCAAAATATCTCTTTCCTTCTCAATGGGGGTGCACACACGACGTCGCGAAAGCCGACGTCTACAATCTGGACACTTCTTACTGTGAGTTTTCCATGCTGAAATCGGATATCACAAATACAGCCTATACGTCTAGGAACGTAAGAAGAGAAAAATCCACGTATTTTCTAATACTGGCCATATACGCTGGATTACTGGTTCCCTCAGCGGGCGGGTCGTTCGTGTAAAATCGATTTTCGTTGTCACTCATAGGGCAAGATACAGAGTCCTAAACCCGGCGTACCGAATATTTTGAAAAACTGATATTTTCAAACGCTTTTTGTTCCATGTCAGGCCGAGGATGTCATTGCTCTGTGTGGGATTAAAGAAATAACCGTAGATACACTGAAAGGTATGAAACTGTCCAAAAAAAAAAAAAGACTACATCTTACATTTGGCGGCAAAATGAACTTTTCCAAAGAGTTCGTGCTGAATTTCGAAACAAGTTGTTAAAGGTTTTCTTTTCTTTTGTTTCATGATGATGGAGATTTGAGACTTAAAAGAGAGGAAATTAGCTTTGATTTTCAAAATCGATGCGGTCTATGGTTAGAAAGTAATAACTCAACTTTATAACTCTTAGTGAGGCTGTACGACAGTTAGACAACTCCTTGGACCGGTAAATATTGTCTCAAGTGTTAATATGTCGTAAAGCACTTTTCAATAATACATTTTTTTTGTCAGAATCAATCAACATTCACAATCTTCAACTCAACATACGTTTTGTTCCGTCGCTGTAATTTCTTGTCGGGCGATTGAGGCTGCTGACATGCCAGGGCTAGATAAAGTCTTAAAAACGCAGGAACTGGCCCCGGGTCCAGGTGGACCCTGGGTACCATTGAACCCAGATGGTCCACGAAGACCCTGAACACCAGGTAGTCCAGACGGTCCTGCAGGGCCCTGAGTACCATTATATCCCGGAGGTCCGGGAGGTCCGGCAGGTCCAGCAGGTCCGGCAAGTCCAATGTCCGGCCCCTTTGTGCCATTATATCCTGGAGGTCCGGCAGGTCCGGCAGGTCCGGCAGGTCCAATGTCACCTTTAGTACCGTTGACTCCAGGTGGTCCTCTGACGCTCGTGCTGCCAGTAGTATTTTTCACCTACTCAATAAAAAATAAACAACAACAACAACAACGATATTCACAGATTTTCTGGATCAGATTTTCCTGTTCATGCGCAGTTATGCAAAATCTCTCTCTCCTGCATTTCTTTAGCTCGAAAAAAAACTTAGACATCGAAAGAAACTCTTAGTCTCTTAAGAATCTCTATCAATAAAAGAGATTTTAGTCTGCACTTAGGTTGAGTTTGAAATACTTAAGATTAAGTTTGTTTTTTCTCAATATTTCTTTAAACTTATGTGTTAAGAAAAAAAATTATTTCGCTCGCAATAATATTATTTTGGCTCCGACCCAGACTTTTTTTGCACCTTTCTTTTTAATTTTTTCAACAACAAAATAAACAAAAACAAAAAAAACAAAAAAAATACATATATATATATATATATATATATATATATATATATATATATATATTACTATTACATCACTCTGGAGTGTCAATATAGAGTTTCAACTATTAGGCGAGCGTCTACAACTTAAATGGTTTTTATTTCCCCTAAGGTACTATCAAACGAAACTTGCGTAAGTCTGGTCATCTGAGTTTTCCAAAAATTCGAAAGGAAAATTCTATAAATCTTTTGAAATTAACGATACAATTGCTAAACTGAGAGTTTGGCATAATTGTTCGAACAGAAAGCGTTTGGCTTGAAGTCATCAACAACATTTTACCACCGGCCACAAAACTTACACAGGCGTTATTAACATACGTTATTATTGTCTGAACAAGTACTTTTCTGGCGGCTGAGCTATCCTTTACCAAACCTTTTTTTTTCATGCTTTGCACGAACGTGGCAAAAAAGTGTCGCAAACATAGCAATTGCTTCTCGATTTTAATTGGCTGCTTTTAACGTATTTGTTTATTTCAGCGTGCTAAAACACACGAATCGACAAAGTGATGATATTTAAACTCTTAGCATCGTCTTGATGAGCTTTCGCTCGAGTAGAAATTGACAACACGTTACATCCGATCAGGTGGGTTGTGACTTCCAAATCTCTAGACGGACACGATATATCTTAGAACACAGAAGGAATGAGGTAGTTTGTATTTCAAGCCAAATCGTTCGGACCGCTCCTACGAAGTCTTAAGATTGGTGAACTATCAATAGTTTCACCAAGGAAATCGCTTCAAAATAGGTAAAATGTATGAAGCTCTCACTGCGATGGTATTTAACCAATTAATCTGAGGGTTGACGGTTTGTCAATCAACAGAGGCAAATATGCAACTTTGTTTTTAAACTTTTCGATTCATCCAAATATTTGACAACTTTGAGGTCAAATATCTCCCGTTGCCAGAAAGCTTCAACATTAATCTTAATTACACTTTATAAACCAGTATTTCATCCCTGAAAATCATCAAAAAAATCTTTGGGTACTACCGTATTTTTGTCTTGGACGCCTTTTAAATTCTGCGACTGTGACAAGTTTCTCTCAACTACACCTGTCACGCAATTCTTGCTTTAGGTGTTCACTTGACAAAATAAACCAACATTTTTTAGCTCTTTATACAAGATGATTGATCAAGAAAGGTGAAAAATGTGAACAGCGTTCGAGATTTTTTGTAGGAATGGAAAATTTCACGTTTAGAGAGATGCATGTAGGCCAAAAATTAATGAGAAAATCTTAGCGTATCTTTCTTCAGTCGTTTATTACTTTGGAGCTTTGCTAAAATCAGCAAATATGGCTTTTGTACGGCACAAAACATTCATTAGTCTATAATTTGATTGTTTATCATCATTATTGCTCATTTTAGGAGATTTTAAAGTCACATGCTGCGTGTTGTTTGACATTACAACAAGTTCCAGTGTGCTACAACTTCGGCTTTTACAGAGGAGAAATTCTGCGCTCTTGCTTGAGAGAAAATATCAACAGTTCTATCAGACTAAAAACTGTGCTTCTATCCCGAAAATAAAATTAAAATAGAGTTTTCGTTGTCACATTTCCATGCAGAACTCCATTAAGCTAACATCTGTTCCGTGACCCGAAGACTCTCCGTAGGAATTATTCAAGCGCGTTGTTCATGCTGTCTGCTAGATAACAATTTCAGAATAATCTGCAGATCTATATGATGATTTGCATGCTTCTATCGTAAAATATCTGCCTATCTTTTCAAACATTCTATCACTACATATGAATCTACATCTCTCTAGATCGAGTGTTGGCGGCGTTTAATTGCGTGACTTATAAAATTTATTAAGAATGAGCCAGCAGTATTTTGACCAGTAGGCTTCCTGCAAATTTCCCTTGATGAAATCCCAAGGCATAGTCAGTTGTTTTCGTGAGCAAAGACAATAAATATGAAAGAAAAGTGAGATGCAAATGTCTTTTTTTTTTTTCAGCTTAATAGCAGCTGTACCCTCTCCTGCAGTCTTCGTCTAAATTTTGCAAGGTCCCTCCTAATCTTCTGCCTTGTTCGGTCAGTTTCGACTTCTGAAGCTATATCATCGGCATCGGCCTCTTCATTCTTATTCATATTTACAGAGGGGGACCTCGTCAATAAACCAATTTTTGTTACGGCAGATAACCGGCTGAAGTATCGAGCAATTTGCTGCTCTATCAACCGGTCAGTCTTAGACAACATTTCTGGCTGGTGTCGTCTCTTAAACTCGATATTTGCGAAGTCACATTAGAGGAGGTTGCCTTACTAGTTTCCTCCAGCACACGTCTAGGAGATAATTCTTTGCTTCCTGAGAAAAGGTAGCTGTCTTTTGTTTTCGAAAGAGCCCATCCAAAGTCCACTTGGCTAGTTAGAGATTGTTCGTCAGAATTTTACCTGAGGTCCGACCTTGAACGTAGCCATCCCCTATAGAATGGCAAGCCGGTCTTCGTCCATTTCCTCTTGATCTTATCATAGGCGGATTTTTTTGTCAGCTTCACTGTGTTTGTCTTCGTTAGGTTGCTTTTGGATGGCAGCCAATGACCGAAACGTCTTGATACATCCTTCCTTTTAGCAAGAATATCTCGCTTTCTTGTACTGTCTGTGATGGATTGGGTATAGTTCTCGCAATGACCTGCGTTCAGAGATCTTTGCATGTTGCTGGTAACCACCCGCTTCTACGATTAGTTTTCTAAAGGTTTCTAATATGATGAGCCTAGTGAGACCCTGAGGTGCTCCAAACTGTGCCAGTTGGTCTGCGCCATAAACTTGTCGCAGTTCTTAAGTCAGAGGGAGGATCGCCCACCTCTATATTATGTGAGCGCCTCTACAGTACCTGCGTATCCCTGGCAATTATATGATATAAAGTTCATCTCAATCACAAATCACTAGTTAGGAAAACTGATGTTCAGATAAGCGCTCTTCTTGCCCTTCTTCCTTATTCATTGCTGACTTTAAGATAGCAGTTACAGTACGCGTTCTATTAGGTTTACAGTCAAGTTGCCACCAGGAAGACTCGCCACCAGCTTTGATTTCTTCTGCCATCTTCAGATTCACCTCTCTCTCAACTTTATGTTTCCCATTTTTATGAGGAGGATACTGACATTTACGAACCCGAAGGTCTGAATCTCACACCAAGTTGTGCACGATATTTGAGGCATATCGTGAATTCGCGGCCTTCGTAGTCTTCACTGAATAAGCCAATATGCGCTATGTGCTATATGCAAATGTTTTTTTTAAGCTGGGGTTCACCTCGATAATATTCGTCGGCCAGAGTCATGACGCGCTAAGCTAAGCGACATCGCCCTCTAGTAAAATAATTTTCCAAAGAATAAATGTGACGAGCGTGAGGAAACGGATATTTTTTTCATTATTGTGATCAAAGCCCAATGATGTACCTAAATTGGTACTTATGGTATCAAACCATTGATTATGAGGTCGACGTGACTTCACATTAAAAGCGTTTTTGACGGAACAAACTAGTGAGCATCACTGTACGAAGTGAGAAAGTAAAAACTTGTATTTATCTCCCACGCGTTTCGTCTGACAATAGTTGACTTCATCAAGGATTTTTCGAAGTAGGGTAAATAAGCTTGCTCATATACAAATAGTCAATAAGTTATCTCTTTACCATCGAAGCTAGTGGTAGAATTGGCCAGGTGCGCCTACGGTGTTATACATGCGTGACATTTTCCGGACGTTACATGTACGAGTACGTGATCCGTTTGAGGATCACAGATTTAGTGTATATATTTGACCCCTCAACATCACGCAATTTCTCTAGTTTACAGAGGTCTTTGAATGTTTCATTACATGGATTTGCCCTCTACGGGTAGAGGGCTACAAGCGAATTTCTCAGGTGTAATTGCCTTTGATTTCTCAATTGACGTTCTTGCAAACACGAAACAAAAAAACTTATCGGGACCTAGTTTCATGTTCTATTGGAAATATATAGCAAATAAAAACACATTCTTTTGAGAAATAAAGTTATAAATAACAGGGGTTCTCTGAAACAAGTAGTGATAGAAAAGGGTTTCAGTTCTGGTCAATATTGACTTTTCATAGCCCACTTCCAAATCTGAGGGAACGCGCTGAGGGAATAAAAAAACATAAATGTGTGATAATGCAAGGAAGACAATAAAAATATAAATTAAGAAAAAGGAGAAAACATAGAAACCCGTGTTACAGCGTGCAGATATCTTTTGAGCCAGACCTACACACCTAAGCCCGACACCACCCAAAGATAATCGAAAGAGTGCTGTATGTGAACTGGCTCGCACGTACACGCAGGAAAGGCCATGACAATCAGCGAAAATAATAGCAAATGCAGATGATATTTGCAGTCAAAAAACAGGAAAATAAGATAACAGAAGGGTTAAGAACTTTCTAGAGGTGTCTTCTTGAAAAAAAAAAAGATAAACAATTTTAACTTCTCATGAAAGGTCACGCAGTCACGCCAGAAATATTATTTCTATACGTGGAATTTCTTGATGGTGGAAAGTGGAAAAAAACATTTTCCAGTCTTATTTTCTGGAAACATGGCGCAGTTAATGAATCTATGGGGCTATTGTTATTTCCTATCAAATAAGGTGGGCAGAGTTTCCCGTCATCTGCGGCATGGAAAAGCCGAAGTTGTTACACTCGGGAACTTGTACGTCAACAAGCACGCGACATGTGACTTTAAAATCTCCCCTCCTGTTACAGTTTCCTTATTGTAAACTGAGCGATAATAATAATAGACGATCAGATTATAGACTAATGAATGTTTTGTTTTGTACAAGAGCCCTATTTCCAGATTTTAGCAAATATTCAAAGTAGTAAACTAGTGTTTATAAATTAGTGTTGAAGCTTTCTGGAGAGATATTTGACCTCAAAGTTGTCAAATATTTGGATGAATCGAAAAGTCTAGAAATACAGTCGTTCATTTGCCTTTGTTGATTGACAAGTCGTCCACCAAATTGACTGATACTTGCGGCGGACATTAACTAAGGATGTAAAAATATGTGTGCAAACCCTCAGAGTAATTGGTTAAATACCATCGCAGTGAGAGCTTCATACATTTTACCTATTTTG